AGTTCACCGTCCTCCTAAAGCCGTTTATTGTTTTTTCATCACTTTTATGTTATGTGATATGGTGATACTGTTGAGAAACTTTTCCCAGATACATTCTTTGCCGTTTTGTAACTTCCCATTAATGTTTTTGTATATTACAAAATGGGATTCCCTAATTGTATCCTCTGGAAAAGGCACCATATAAATCCAACTATTATTATTATTATTATTAATTCCAGCGGTATAATTTTGTTTTGTATTATTCTTTATTGTATTCATTCAATTCATGTACATCATACAACTTATATAGAGTACATAATATACACAACTCAATTATTTTTAATGAATAAATCTTATCGTAATAACCCCCTCCCCAAATTAAAACACAAAACAATGACGAAGCCTACAAAAAAAACTTTCTAAAAATAGAAGAAGAAAAAACAACAATATTTGTGTTTGATCGAAGTGAGCGATCGGGAAGTCCTCAATCGTTCTCCCATCTCTTACACATCGTCAACACACATCTCAGTTATGTCATGATGTTTATCTATGGATATAAATATAGATCTAATTGCTGTTCATGCATAGCTGGGATCTTGAGTCTTCGCTATGGAATTCCTGGAGATGAGAGTGTGACGTCACAATTTGTTGAAAGCTCTGTGATGTCGTCTGCTATTTTTGTCTGTGCTGGATGTAAGGTCTATACCAATGCTGGTCCAGTACTAGAAAAAGATGTTTATGACCATCTGAAAATCGTGCATGTTCAGCATCCTAGAAGAAGTCACAGGGCAAATTTTTTCTCAAAGTCGTTGAAAAAGAAATTAATGGGAGAGTTGACATTTTTCAATCTATTTTAGATTGCCAACTGTTCATTAATTCCTCATAGCTAAAGAGAAAATACCTGAATGAAAATAAAAGCATAATTTGGGCTAATTACAAAATGTAAATTATTTCTTATTTGTAAATTCCCCCTGGAAGCGCACGGCCTCCCCTCTCCCTTTAATGGAGGGGGGGGGGGGTATTTGATTTGCTTGTTTACATCATAAGGGGCTGTGAATTATTGCTAAGCTACCCTCTCTCAAAAGTCATATCCATATCTGCATTGTAAACCGAAACACAATAATGCTCTATACATTCAGATCTCATACTTTTCGAGAGTGCCTCTTAAATCAGGGGTCGCATTCGAGCTATGAGAAGAAAAGAGAGAAAGATTGGCGATGCACATCTCTGACTGTTTCGGTAATCGAGCCTCTTTATCATCTCTCTCTCTCTCTCTCTCTCTCTCTCTCTCTCTCTGTATCTCCCCCTCTCTCTCCCTCTCTCTCCTTCTCTCTCTATCGCTGATGCGAGCCGCCCCGCGTCTGGAGTTTCAGAAGAGGCATCTTCTTAATAACATGTTTGTCATCGACTAGGTATATCTGAGATGGTTCGACGGAGAGGGGATGTCAGGATCAGTCTGGCGCTCATTTCTCGAGCTGTCCACTCTCACCTTTCTCAAACCCTTGGACGGTTCTGAAGGGACAGATATTATTATCTCAAGATGGAACTTGGAAGTACCCCTGAGCCAAGATGCATTAGATAGCTCTCATCCAGTCTCATCCCATATGGTTATGATCAGTATGCTATCTTCGTATAGTCCAAAGGCTTCCACGATCAGCACGAACGCAAATATTCCCATAGAATCGCCATTTATCCAAAGCACGAATCAGTGTCCGGAAAGCTGGCAAATGAGAAAAGTCTTTTGGAGAAGTTTTGGCTTTCCTTGTAGTTGTAGGTCGACTACACGCTGCTGACTTTAAGCGGTTTTATGTTAAACATTTTGGCTCGGCGGAAGTAATAAAGACCTCTTTCCCCTTTCTCGATGTATACACAGCTTCACATCTACCGTGGATCGTACTGCGCATGCTCCACAATCTTACTAACACTAAACAAGTCCCTGGTCTGAGTCCCGACACTAAACCTTATAACTAATCTTAACCCTATAAACCCACAAATCCAATCGTCATCCTACATTATCTTTGGCGAAATAAAAGCCCATGGAAAAGTGTCGCTGGAGCAAAATTGATGTCGGATCATTCGGACTTGGATATTAACAAAAATGATCACAGAAACTTTCGAGAAATCAACGCGAGGCGATTTCAAATAGCCTTGTTCGTCACCTATTGAAATGGTAACAAATTGCAGAGATTTGTTACGTAATACAAACATGATTAATGTGACTTACAATCATGACAAGAGGGTAATGAAGTTACCCTTGAGTCACTGTTAGTTGACTTATTCGGAGGTGTTTGCAATCATGTTTCAACCAGTTTGACTGGGGTTAGGATGACTTAACTACTCCATCATCCCACTTCCCAGGGTCAGAAACTAGTTCACAGTGGGGTTCATGTCATAAGGTATTAACTCACTTACGAGACGGGAGGAAGATAAGGGGGTAATACGAATCAGATTAACGTGCATCATCATCCTTTCGAATATCCTGCTCCAATATGAAAGGATGTTTTAATCCAGCGGTTTAGTGGTAGATTAGGGAAGATAGGTCAAGATAGGGTGGAGAATGTTATGAATTCGTGTGCCCAAATTTCAAGCCAACTTTATTTAATCTGCAAGAACTGATGCGTACAAGCAAGGGCCCCTCCTGTATTTGATTTGTGGGGAAAATATCTGGAAACTATACTAGAAATAAATGAGCCGATGAGGTAAAAACATGTTTCGGTTATCAGTGACGTCTTATATTTCGCATATGGAACTAAACTAAATATCAGGCGAACTTTCTGTACCTTTCAATTAAAATTAAATCCTGATCGCAAGATAAGAGACTATCTCTGAAAATTCCAAGTTGACCTATTGATCACGTGACTTGATTACTTAATCGATTGGCCACGCGAGCCGTGATCAATTTCCCTTTTGAAGATTAACGACTGGGTATTATGATTCAGCAAAAAAGATTTTGATTATGAAATTATGGATTAATGAGGGCTCAATGTCAGAGGGCAAGGTGTACTAATACACCTGTCGCATGTGAGTAGCCATGAGAGCAGTGGACTTGGCATGCGATATCTTAGGAGTCGATGAAGAGATTGGGGTAGTGGAGTGGGCATGGGGGAGGGGTAGACGAGAGAGTTAGTAGAGAAGATAGAGGGGTAGAGAGAGACAAGAGAGACAAGAGAAGAAGAAATAGAAAAAGAGAAGGGGAAGAAGAGAAGAGGAGAGAGAGGGAGACAAAGAGAGAGAGAGACACACACACACACACACACACGCACATGCATGCACACAAAAACACGCACAGACAGAGAGAGAGAGAGAGAGAGAGAGAGAGAGAGAGGGCCCCTTCAAATTGTGCCAAATAGTGATTGGAAACACACTTTCAAGATTTGCCCAAGGATGTCGTATAATTGATTAAGGTCCACCTTTATCCAATTATAGTCTTTGAATATTAATAAGAAATTTGTGTGCCAACAGAGAAATTAAGTAATACTTCATGAGCCTCATGCCTACATGTGTGCTGGTCTGTCGCTCTGCATTATAAATATCCTGGTTGATATAAAAACTGCGACATCACTGTTTGTACAAACTCGAAAGATTGCAACATTTCAAATATAATGGTTACAGTCCTCAACTTTGCTGAACTCATAAATAAACTTCTGTTTAGTTTACTATATGACGGGAGGGGTAAAAACCGATCGATTTAAACAAAAATGGTTCAAAAGATTCTATCGTAAAATTAAACAAGAAAAATTGCAGATTCATGTCCAGTGTCAAGTTCACCTACATATCAATTAACTTAACCCTCCTACCGCCAAGATCAGAGTTTATACGCGCAGTGACGTTTGATTGTGGTGAGCATGTAACGAAAGGGGTAACGAGGAAGATGTGCAAAAGGGCATTATTCTATAGGGAGTTCCTGGCAATCTCCGAAGACAATTTTGTCCCAGAAAGGTGGTGTGTTGACTCAAGATCTGTGCAAACCTCTCCCGGGATTGTCATGGCTCCTCAGGGAATTACTGGCCCAATATTCAAATATTCAATATTTGAGAGCAAACACCTCATCCAAAGTCATATTCAGTGCAAGGCGATCGAGCACGACATAGCGATGTATTTTAGCGCGTTAAAAATTGATTGATATCGATAGCGAATTGGTCGTCTGCGAATAATAGTGCGTTTTGATACTGCCAATTTGAACAATTAATTAATCAGTAATCTACACAATTGATACACTGTCAAAATTCTAGCATACATTCCCATGAGAACTTTGCCTGCAATTATCACCCATGTGAGATAACCTACAGTGAGTCACATATTACATATTTGCACAGTTTATGTCTTTATCAATCACTTCCATCTATGAGATAACTTTGGCACCACCACCACGTTTGTCGATTCGTATCTATAGATAGCTGTCACGCATCGTCAGTGTCGATTGGTTTGAATGGTTTAGCACACCGTGATATTGATTCATGAATAGAAGAATTGATTGTCTCTTATCCACTCCACTTTGCCATGATTTGATTACAAATGTCACGAAGTACTAAGCCTTTTAGCAGCACTGTAATGGTACATAGTTCAATCGTATAATTGTTATGTAATACGTGCTTATTCGGACGCGGTTATGAGGAAATAATTAATGAACTTTGAATGATAACAGTTTGGGTGTTTGCAACGTGGACGCGATTTGAGTGAAAGTAGTCTAAGGTTGAAACAAAGTTCATGTAAAGTTTAAAGCAATGGTAGCAACTGAACTAAGTTGTATTATACAATGTTCATTGTTTAGTTATTTTCTTGAATAACATCTCTTTAACGTATGGATTCTATTCGTGTCAATTGCTAAATTCCAAGTTTATAGCCTGTTTTGAACAGTTCTTTTCTATCAACAATTGCTACCTCTAAATGTTAACGTCTCTCTCCAGCTGGAAACCCCAAATTCGTTCCATGCTGGATGAATTGTATCATAGTTATTGAAATAAAATAATCTTCTTTAGTCTAATTATGTATTTTTAATTGTATTCCTTTTACTCCAGGTTCGAGCTGAGGTGAATAGGTGTTCCTGTCCAATGCAGTTTCCTATGATCAGAATTGCAGAAGGAAAATACAGGATAGGAGACTCCAATACACTCATCTTTGTTAGAGTGAGTATCCAATTTATTGTTGTATTCAATGGCGTAGCCACAGGATGATCGAGTGGCGAAAAATGAACAAAAATATAAAATATTAGAAAAAAAGACAGAAAATGGAAGAGGGGGAAAGGGGGTGATAATGACTTAATCCCTCACCTCTCATAATCAATGGCCATGTTGCTTTACCTTTCATCTATCAAGTATCCATGATCGGTGCCCCTTCCCCGTGATATCGGTGTCTCTTTTCAGTCTTTCGTTATCATTTTATACATCTTCGTATCTCCTCCTTTTCTCAGCTGCTTTTTTTTTACCAGCTTTTTTCCCCTCTCAGCATAATTTTATCCTCTCTCCATCTCCTCGCGATCTTCATTTCATGTATTTGTTTCGTCTGCATCCTGTTTAGCTATTCTTGCTCGAAGCAGTGCTTTTATGATCCTTCCATACCCTGTACAATAAATATTTCCCGTCACATTTGTTATTCACCCACCGATATAGTTGAATATATGGGACTGTCTAGCATACCACTCTAGGTTCTTCCGTCCATTAACATTCTGCGTATGAAACGCTATCTACTTGATCAATGTTGCGTTCCTTCATAAATTTGAATATTATTTTTGTTTAACCCTGTATCGTTGAACATGATTTTTTTCTCTTCAAATTATGTATATAAATTGGAGTGTTTCGTATATAATTATGTTCAATCGGTCTTAGAAAACATGGTTGTGGTTGTTGTACATGAATGTAAGTCAAGTAACACACAATGGTTTGATGACCATCGAACCGGATAGATTTTATCCTCCCATGATTTCGTAAAATAATCATATTATATTTTGCTGCCATTTGCAAGTATTTCTTAACATATTGGTCTCTCTTCCAGATCTAACATGTTTTAAATAGTAGATAGCAGTAGCACTAATAGATCTGCATGTCATCTTTTATTATTTAAAAAAAGTTGTTCATGATATAAAACAAATCGTGATTAGCAGTTTATTTAAAACACTGTCCTCCTCAAAAATGCGTGCGTCAATCTGGAGATTTGACCAGGTTAGACCATGATTCAATCTGTTATTGACTCCCAGCCTCAACCAATGTGCAATATTTTGACTCAGAAGTGTTGATAACTCGTGCTTGCTCACTCATACCGAGTTCGTAATTCAATTATTTCAATTGATCTCTTAATCCATACCCTATCAAATCTGATTATATCAAACATCACGGGACACCAAGGCACCGCAAATTATTCGTGCAATTTAAGACTTTAGTGTTACACTAGGAAATAGCGTCTGGACTGTAAACAAACAGACGGTACTGATGACTATTTAATGACGGACAGGCTGTGTTTTTGTTTTTCTGTAATATTGTTTCGTTCTGGTTTTTAATATCTAGGATTAATAATAGTGATGAGTGCCTTAAGATGGTTAAATACCAATTAGCGTCATTTGAAAGGGATCTCTTTGGTGGTTTTACACTGGGGAATCAAGCAGATTGAGCTCGTAAATTGATTTCATTATTGTCTCTAATTTAATTTCCTTTGCTACATTATTTTATAGTCATGTCTGTGAGGTGTTGGCTAAAGTTGGACAAAGATGGCGTGCCTGCTATATGCACCCTTGACCGATGCTAACACTGTTCTTTAACACCAAAAGCTTTCTCCTTTTTTCGGAAGTGAGGGTGGGGGGGGGGGGGGGGTTTAGAGGATACCAATTGCAATTTCAGTGTATATATTCGATGTGGTCTTATTCATTATTCTTTTCTCAAGAACCCTTTTCTCTCTTCTGGCCCTGTCAACTTGGTACGCAACCTTCCCGATGTTACTCCGCCATATCGATCATCCATGTGTTTTAATTGTTTCCTCTCGTCGTTCTGAATTTCCCATTTTATTTTTGAGAAGTCTGACACATCCATGAGAAAACTAAAAGAAGACTATAATGTTCATATTTAGGCATGATTTTGACGTAGGTAGAGTATACTGCCCATGAAACATTTACTCATCTAAGTGAAAGTCAGCACGCGAAGGTCATCTTCATCGGCTTCTCATCCCGGTCAATTAGTTGGGATTTAAAGCGATGAAGGGTAACATCAGAGACCCGGGGACGCCCTTGGGTCACAGTTTCGGCATTACTGACTCATTTTCGCCTCGATGTAGTCATTCATGATATGATCCCTTTTGTTTTGAGAAAGACATGGAAAAGGTCTAGTGGAGGTCGAAGCTTGTGGCAATTTCCTGGAGATCCCGCGTCCAAGTTTGAACCTACCTCGCCCATCGTGCAATTATGAGCTAGTGATACCACAAGGTTAAAAGTGATCCCCGGTCCTTTGTAAATCCCGGTTGTACCCCCGAATCCAATATCACCGACTCTCGGTCACCAATATCACCCCTGTGTATTAATACATTGAGAGGCCTAAGGCCTAGGGGTTGAGTGACAATCTATCGTGTTCTAGCTTTAAAAAGGCTTGCATTGAGATTTGAGGATGCTACTATAAAGGTATTCCAAGTAAAAAGTCGGAAATGTTCACCGTGCAGGATATTTCATATGAGCAAAATGAAAACAAACCATTTCATTTCCAGATATCAAATACACTTTAATCACGTTCTGTGGTGTTGGAAAAATTTCTTGATTTCTCCTTATATTTCTTCCCTTTTATCATTCAACTATTTTTTAAAAATTATTATTATTATTATTATTTTATTTTTTATTTATTTATTTTTTATTTTTTTTTTATTTTTATTTTTTTTATTTATTTATTTTATTTTTTTTTGGGGGGGGGGGGTTGTAAATCTTTTAACAGTTTTAATAGTTAGTGAATGTTTTTTTGCATGTAGGAAGTTTTGTTTTCGTTCTTTTGCAGAAAAATCAATGTTACCTTAGATATATGAATTTCGAGAGAGGGGGCAAGGTGTGGGGAGTCAAGTCATGTATTGTGGAACCTATCCTTTCTAGGGTTAATATTAATCTCAACTCCGAGTCTAGGCCAACGAGCTCACCTCTGTGCACAAAGTGCCCCTTAGAGATTGGCGATATGCTAATTAGTCCCTTAAAATATAACATGGTTGGGTTAGGTAAGAGTCATGACGTTCAGTCTACTCATCGTCTCCAGGGTTTTTACCATTTTGTTTCTTCAATCTCGACTCGAACTCTCGGTCTACAGGCTCACAGTCATGTATGCCGTAGAGAGGCTCTAAGAGGTACATGACAGTCATGTTGCTCTTTGTAAAGTGTAACATCAATGTGGCGGGGAGGAGGGGGGTAGAGTCATGCCCTTAGAAGTACCCATCCTCTCTTGGGTTCTTACTAATTTCTTATCTCAACTGAGCAAAGTGACGCACTTAACTTAATGAACTCAATCAAGCTATCCGTTACTCATTACGTCCGAGACATAGGGTCATCTGATTAGGATGATGTCTTCCAATCGACCTTGTCCATTACCACCTCTTAACTCCAGCAGTTAGTCCCTCTGTGGCGGTAAGCCTCTAAAGGCTGGTATGACTAGCCCTTTTATCGACCAGATTTCATCTGAATTATACATACTGTTACTCCTTAGGAGTTCTGTCCCTCTTTGACTGCAGGTCTGTAAAGAAAGATATGACCAGATTTCCTCTGCTGCATAGAGCTTCTTCTCACAGGAGTTGGGCCTCTCTTTTAAAGAATGATATGACTAAAAATGTGTCCAATTATCGATCAGTTTTCCTTGGGTTTTAGATCCTTGCCTTCTTTTACTTGCTGTAGGTCTCTAAATAATTACATGACGACCTATGTTCTTGTGCCTATGTATTATTGCTTCTTTTAAAGAGTTAGTCTCCTTATGGCTGCAATACCATGAATAAAGATTTGACAAACTTTCTCCTTTTCAAGTTTCTTTCCTCTGCCGTAGATCTTTATCCCTTGAGAAGTTCAGTTCCGTTGAAACTATTGGGGACTCATTCTGTAAGATTTGACATGATATCGTTTTAATATTACCCTTCCTACAGTCCCGCTTGAACTGCTAGTCTCTGGAGACTAAATTGACTTATTTTTTGTTTTCGTCATTTCTACCTTGTGCTGAAGAGACTTGTAATCATGTTCACAGTCCCTAGGAATGAAATAACTAGTCGTGTATTGACCTCCATTATGTTAAAAAGACGTTCAGTCCCCCTTGGACTGTACGTTTCTAAACAATGACTTGACTAACCATGTTTTCTCGCCCTTCTTCTTCCTCTTGCTGTAGATCCTTCGCAAGCACGTCATGGTTCGGGTCGGAGGAGGCTGGGACACCCTGACTCACTACCTGGACAAACATGATCCATGCAGATGTATAGGTTAGTAGCCTAATGAGACATTAAGCGCAAGGGTTCAAAGCTAGATTGATGCTCTAGCATTGATGATAAACAATTACAGTTTCTAACAAAAAAAAATATATTAGACCTAGCTCAATTTACGACACCTTACATGTTGTCAGAAAAAGTTTATTTGAGAAAGAACTGAAATAACGAAACTGACCATTGAATCCCCCCTTTAAAAAAAGAAAGTTGTACACAGTTATGAAAGGAAGAAAGATTTGTTGCTACTATTTATGTATATTGAACTCTTCCATGCCTCGTGATAGTCATTCTGAAGTGGGCAGTCAGGTGTTGTAGTATAATGTTCAGACAAGTCCAATAAATATGTTTTTGTTTTCGTCTGGATTTTTCACAAAATTCCTTTTATTTTTACACCTCCAGCGCACAAAAAGAATCAACGACGGAGTACCGCCGGTGCAGACTTCGGACCAAGAAGCCCCAAGAGAAAGTGAGTTGATTGAGTTAATTCTGAGGTTATGTTTTTAGTACACAAAATCGGTAAATGCAGCAAGGAGAATCTATTTTCCAGATCATAGATATATCTTATTAGTCATGTGTTCAGTTTATATTTGCCTATTAAATCATGTAAATCGTTGCGTAGTCAATTGCGTAATTTTGAATTGAATTAAACGTTTGAATGCATACTAAGACCTGTTTTTATTTGCCATTTCAGGAGTTCTGTGAAGCCATCTGATGTCTACCACGCCCTCAACGGCCAGAGTTCAGATGGTACTACCTCTCCTACAGAGAGTGGAACCACCCGATCCAACTCACCAACCACCTCTCCGAACCGTCGTGTAAAACCTGACGTCCGACCTCGAAGCGCAGTTATGTCACCTCCCAGACGACAGAGCAACGGAGATACATACCGTCCAAATAGCCTGAACCTCGGTGTCAGGAACAGTCCACGAAACAGTCCACGTCCGTTGCGCAGAGGAAACAGTTTTGATTCCTCACCGAAGTTTGTGACATCACCAGACTCTAGCGACACTTACAGTAATTCTGACCTTGGTGGTCATGTCACCCCGACAAAGGACTCTACTTTGAAACGAAACCATAGTCGTTCCAACCCACGTAAGGTGACACCTGATTCTGATAGTACTGCTTATAGCGAAACAGTGCCTATGAGCGTCGGGAGCCCCCTCCGAAGAAGGAACTCAACGAAACAAGCAACATCGAACAGTAACAAGACATCTCAGACAGCGACAGAAGAGTTCATGAGGCGCAAACGTCAGCAAGCTAGAGCACAATCCGTGCAGGGAGCAGACTGTAAGCTTGAGCGTGAATCATGTATCCAGAGTGCACCGACCAGCCCCACCAGGAGACGTGGCAACCCTTTGAGCAGTAGCATGAGATCAGCAAGCAGGCCACGCGACTTGGTCAAGCGGGCTGCTGTAGGTGCAGCTGATGAAAGGCGAATGGAAAGCGGTGGTGCCCGGGAGTCTCGTGGAAAGACTGTTAAGACTACGGGTGATTCTAAACTACCAGTAAGAGAATACAGCCCGAGTCCGAGTTTAAGTCGAAGAAGTTCAACTCCTGGTGGCCTCTCGCGGAAGTCACGCGCTCAGTCAGCTAAGACGAGTAAGGAAATGGACAAAAGGCGTCTATACAGTTCAGAGGAACCTGTTATGATGATCAAGCGTGATGATGATGGAAGACATCGAGTGGACAGCACCAGCAGCTGCGAATCTAATGGCAGTAGTGTCAAGTCTGGCTCAAGAAGCCTGAGTGGTATACCCAGTAAAAGACTCTCTGAATCCAACACAAACAAGAAGAGGTATAGAAGTATATCCGTAGACAGATCTAACAGTAACTCTGATCAATTTGGTGCTGCTAGCGAACGCAGGAGGAGCTTGTTTGAGCGAGCACACACTGATCGTACACACAGCGATCGTACAAACACCGATCGTAGAAAATCTCTCGATCGGTCAAACAGTGGTTGCAAGAAACCTTCGGTAGAACGCCCGTCTCTGCAAGTACACAGAGTACGTTCGGAAAACGTCCAACCAAGATCTAGGTCACTGTCCCGCGATTGGCAGACCAACAGTCTTCGACTCCCCAAGACGAGCAGCAACAGGTCGCAACATCCTCTATCGAGGAGCTCATCTGCACGGGGTAGTCCTGTCCGCCGAAGACGATCAGACATTCCACTCACACCCAACCATCTACGACCTGACTCATGGGACAATGGAGCAACTGCAAGTGTACCACCAACATCAACTCGGTCTCGACTCAGACCACCCACAGCCATTCCGTCACACCTGAAACCTGACCATTCTTCCATGACATCAGTCAGATCAGACACCCGTCGTGACAGTCGCCCAACAAGAATCCCCTTACCTTCCGGTCACAAGCGCCTCCTGGAAGCCCAAAGCAGATCCAGATCCAACTCACTCCCGACCATCCTTGCGGATCTCCTGGAGGCTTGGCAGACTGTTCAGAACAGCACCCGACAGCTTCAGAACATGGATCCCTTTGACATGTCACCGTGTCGAAGCAGTGAAGGTGATTCCATCTCCCCGACATCCTCAGTCCGCACAGCACCAGACCTCAACCATGACTCAGGCTACGAAGACAATGCTAATATCCTCAAGTTCTCACCAAATCTTAACAATCATCATCCCGTACTTCCCTCTATCGATTCCACTGAGAATTGATCAGATAGACCAATGACATTGATCCTTCCTATCTGTTACTATTATTTCTCACGAGCTGCTGATTAAGGTCCTCACGCTAGAGTACTCATCTGTTTCACCAAGCGCTAAAGACCATGTGAAGTCGTAAATTGTTGCAATTGTAGAAGCGCATCTGTGAAGTTTCTCTTGGCGTAGCTTTAAGATAAAGATTATTGTATAGATAAAAGACTATTATTTATTTTGATCCAACGTGTAATAACGTATACGTGTTGTGTGAATATGTATTGTCATGTTATTAATAAATGTAAACGAGCTTTCCTAGATGTTATAAAGTCAAGCATAAGAAGTGAGTTTATGTATTGTACACGTATGTAAAACAGGTAGAGACATAATGTCTCCTATGAACAGAGCGAGTTTAATCAGAAAGAAAGAAAGGTCCCGCCATTATTCCCTCGTTTGTGCCTTGATTCTAAATCTTGAGGCATGACGTAATGATATGATAATGTCCCGGATGATATAAAAGAAGACTAGGAATCCTAGATAGAAAGTCAAAGGTTTGATAAGAAAAGTTTGAGAATATAGAGAGGAAAAGGATTTTCCAAGTACTTGTCTTGTAATTTTACCGCTATAGGCTGGTTAGGAAAATGCCCGATATACTATGTAGATACGTATTACCTGAAGAAAGGTTTTAAGAATAGATGAATTCTAGAATTAATGAATTCATGGCTAAATTGTAGATAATGGACAAAAAGAAGGTCATCATTACAATATTATCCTCATCACTGTGTAGAAACATTATAACGACTAGAAAAAATGAAAACAAATAATTAGCTACATCATAAAAATCTATTTAAACAAAATATGATAACAAGTTCATATTGAGGCCTAATTTTCAAAATGAAGAAAGAAGTATGTTGATTATGATGATAGCTTTATGGTATTTTAAAGTCATAATTTTGAGAACGCAGTGAATTGTACGTGTATTGCATTGTACCTGGTATGCAAATAGTGGTGGAGAAATAGTGAATTTATAGTAGGCCTAGTCCAAAGTTTGGTATATGTCTATTTAATCGAAAAGGCCTAAATGATGCTGCGCTGCATACTTGTCATTAAACCAACACATTAGATCATTATTGCTCCTAACTTATATAGAACTTATCTTATATTAGAAGCATAGATCTATATTTCATCAACCGTGTGCAAACCGGTAGATGTCACGAACATGCTCTTTCCGACTGCGCATTATCTGGAGCTATAATTCTACAATTACTGCTTGACATTCCACGCGCGGTGTTGTTATCCATTCTATCCTTTAGGTTAAAGCGTATACTATATCTAAATATCATGTTTCAAAGACTATGCAAATGAGTATGAAAAGGATTAAGAAAGTGCCTGCTAATTGCTTTTTAGTTGGCTTTGAAATTTTCTTTCTTTTTGGAGCTGAGTTTTGTAACAATCATTTTGACTTCCCTGTATACTTCCGTACATTTTGATTATTTATATATTTTGGCTGAAACGTAGTGAGGATACGTCATCCGATCGTGGTGTTGTAATTTTTAATGAGATACAAGCATTTTCTTTGGAAATACTGGAGATGTTGAATTATGGTTTGAAACTGAAGATTTTTCTTGTTTTTATCCGTTTTGAGGCAATAGAACGTATAATTGGCGATGTAAGAAATGAGTTGTTATATTGATTTGTATAAATGTATATACAATATTGAAATAAAGATTTATGAAGATGTGTTTATGAGTAAAGCAAAACTTGTCAAAGGCGAATTGAAAGAGAATGACAGAACGATTGTTTGTATGTTGATTGTGTTTATTAAAATATTGTTGTACTTTATATGTAGATATATTATGGTATATATTGTTCTTGTAGATTTTTCTTTACTTTTGCTGTTTCTTTCCATTTTGTTATTTTGCAGTTGTGTAGATTATTTTTCATTATGTTATGACTTTTGCTTGTTTGTTCTTTTCTCCAAAGTTTTGTGTATATCTTTCACTGTACTATGCAGTTAACGTCAGTTAATATATTCTTCAAATATATCCCTGTTTAAAGAAATAAGTGAACGTTTGTAAGACCCTTAATCATGTTTAAACATTATTAGGTAACTACGCATCATTGTAGTTTTATATAGCCTTTAAATATCTATGAATATGTAAAAGCGTTTGGCATCAATTTCCTATTTTTAAATCTAGCGGATTAACGATTCATTATATGCCCCATTCCCTAATTGCTAGATAATAGCAACCAGATATTTAAAAAGTAGTGATTTTTTAAAGTTTAGTTACCCGTATGTTTCTGAACAAATTTAATATAGATCGAATATGTTCATATTCCACTTTGTTTGGTTTTTCTCACTAAATTGCTTTTAATTTGAATGGTCTTTAAGATTATTTCCCCTGTCAAGATTCATAGAAATGTCCTGCTATTGTATTAAATGTCATTTATCTCAAAAAATAATGTATTTGTTGTCTGTACTGTCCTTAACTATTAGTTAAAAAGAAGTATAACTTCAACTTTTGTTCTACTCGATATTTCTGTTTGTTGTTTTGTCATGTATGTTACGAAGCATCGTCTGAAATAAATATGCTGGCCTAAAGATGAATCTTGATTTGTTTTGTTGTTTATTTTGTATATTGTATAGTGTATACGATATAAGACGCCCACCGCAAACATGGTAAACCAAGCGATCCGGCTTGGGTTCGATCTTAGAAGACCTCTCAATACCACTAGATTTTGATATTTTGACAAACAAATTCTACCGGATTTTGAATGGTAATATGAATACTAAACATCGAAATGTTGGTATAAGCTTTCTGGTCGGAGATAAAGGTAAAATCGGCTTTAAGTCGAACATTATTGCGCTACGATTTGGTGCCGATTTGGACCTTAAACACAAAAAATGCCCACAACGCGCCATTATCTCGAGTTTTACCATTCATATGACTACATAATGATTATCTCTTCATTCGTAAATATTTCATATATTTGAATTTCCACATAAAATGATGATGCATTGTCTTACAAAACCATACTCTAGTCGGATCGTACAGTGTGCTATGACCTCTTTCGGGACATTATTGTATTTATAAGGCGCTAGGTCCGATTATTGACACGCATATTAAAGTGATTTTGATCATGTTTCAACTAAATGCAAACAATCTTACTACCACTCACAACTGAAATTACCACTTCCAATTTCACCATAAAAAAGGAACAGAGTCTGACACGACTTTTGATATGTATTTTATATTGTTATTTTTATTACATATCTTGAAACTAATATAAAACATTTAAACGAATGATTTTAATTTCTCATTCGTTTCCTTTTAACTTTACATTTCGATTTGATTTCAGCAGAAGCATAGATACTATTTTACATTTAAAAATGAAATAACACAGAGTCATTACACAATGCTGCGTACAGCAAGATAATCAGGAAAAAAGATATCATGCTTTAATGAGATGAAATATGAACATATTTGAATAAAATCACATCATATATTCTGTGTGCGTTTGACAAAAAGAAAAAAATGGAACAAAAAACCGTTAAGATATTGTACGGTATATATAATTTAAAAAACCCAGAAAGAACATCTTACATCATGGCGCGAACAGATAATGACTTAAATTGAAAGATGTATCAATGTCTTCTTTCTATGCATCTCAAATATTGGCAGTTTATTATACGAATATATATTTAAAGATCATGGCTTTTGGGAGGCTACCTCACACCTTTCTATATATTATACTTTGATTTCAACGGCCATTCCAAAGGCAATTTTCAAATAATTTCGAACTGCTCATCTGCTATACACATAATATGAGTTACTGAAGCATCCAGTTTCCCGTGAATAGTATTATTTCTATCACGCACATTTCACCCGATGTCAACAAAATAATTTATTTTTAATTAAATATGACTCTGTACTATAAGTTATTTCATCCTTCTAAATTTCCTGCATTCTCTTATGATTAGTATAGTCTCAGTAAAGATTATTATGTTGTCTTCTTGTAAAGCGCTCATTTCCGACACCCATTGAATCTAAATGCGTTCCCGATGTTATTAATTATATTTCAGCCAACATTGTTATACCGAATGTGGTGCGCTTATCACTCTGACCAAGACCCTGTTTGACCAAACATGTTATCAATAACAAGTTACAATGACTGTTATAAGCTACTGAAATCGTAGCTTTTGATTGGCTGAGAACACAAATTGTCATACAAATTAAGCATTTGTTATTAATAACAAGTTTTATGAAACAGGCCTCGTGTACAATTACCACAATTGAATAAAAAGGACTAACCATTATCTTATTTGTTACCATCTTATTCGTTTACTTCATTCTTTCTCCACGCTCAACGTTCCTCCTCTTCTAACTATACTCTTTGATCTTTATATATTTCTTCGGTGTTAACACCAGTCTCATTTATACTCTGTTCTAGTATAATTATATATAAATAAATACATCTATCCTTCTACGTCCTAAGAATTGTATTCAGCCTTATCTGATTTTTGTTCTGAAATATGAATTCGAAATACAACACAGGATTAATCAATCTTAATTTAAATTTTAAATATGTTTTTTAAAGGATGAATAACTAATCAATTTGTATAAAAACATGTCTTTCCTATAGACTAAACAGACTAACTAAAACTGGGTAAATACCCATTATTTCGATACGAAATAGTTGTAAAGATAGGAAACGGGTAAAATAATATTCCAAAGTTGGGTCTGCATAGAGGGTAAAAACAGAGGTCAGCAGCGAATCTCTGAAACAATTACAAAAGCAATATATCAAATTCTGAGAATATACGCTAGATGCAATATGATCTATCTACATTGTATAGTCATTACAAAAGTCGTTTATATACATATTCATAAACTATATATTCCTGAAACTACACAAGTCATGAATGATTATACGTTTAAGAACTGACTATCACTATCATACTTCCACTGTGCTCGAGCGTCTGTCGTCGTATTGTAAATTATCGCCTCGTGAATTTCGCTGTGTTACCGCCATCTCGCGTTGCATCTTCTCCAGCATAACTTGCATCTGTCTCAGTTCGACCTCCTTTTGCTCCAGCATTCGGTCTTTTTCGGCGACTTCGTCGAAGACTCCCGAGTCACGTTTGAGTTTGCTGATAATAGCAACAGAGAATATTTAAAATTAGGAATAGCCAATAAATATCTGCAAAGAAAGATCTAGAGGTGTACAGGATTATTTTGCAAGGGGGGGGGGGAGGGAAGCTAACGTCTTTTGCCTGAAAATCATCATTAAGGAATCGAGCAATATTCGGGCTTTTTTTTTTAGAGCGAAAACGTTCCTTTGTCATAAGAATACACTTATCAAGAGACAACATTTACAAACAGAATGTTTTTTGTAAATTGAATGTGAGGTGGTTGGAAATTTTTTTAAAAATCCGAATTGTCAGGGTATGTAATTCCCGTCCAATCCGTGAAAAGGCCAAAATCAATTTGATTTTTAATTCATCATGATAATGATTGCAGATTTTTACTAAACTTTGAAGTAAAAACGCGGCTTTGATAAATATAGTGCGTCTTTAAAAAATAACTACCGAGAAGATCCTTTTGGAAACATATAGTATATGTATATGTTTCCAAAAGGAACAAGACCATGAGATACACAAAAGAAAGAACAAATGTTAACCCAATGGGTATACTGAGACAGATAGAAGAATGATAACAGACTCACAACGAAATGTTTGAATAAGTAGCCAGATATACAGAGAAATAGATAGAGAAGGGATTGGGAGTGAGGGAGGAGTGAGACAGAGAGACAGAGAGACAGAGAGAGGGAGAGAGAGAGAAAGAGAAAGAGAGAGAGAAAGAGAGAGAGAGAGAGAGAGAGAGAGAGAGAGAGAGAGAAGGGGGTAGAGAGGGAGCTACTACGTATAGAAAGAAAGGAAGAACAACAACAACAAAGAGGCAGAAATGAAAAGTAATGGGAAATTTGTTTACTGATGATTATCTTTAGGTAATCTTCATAGGATGAAACTAGGGGTAGAAGAATATTTACTCTAGTTATATTGCAGAGTTAGCATTATGGCATTCTAATGTGGGATAGTACAGTAACTAGTCTTACAGAAATGAAAGTTAAGATGACGATGAGGGCGACAAACAGATAAATAACTCAGCAAACGATACATGTATACGTTATAAATTGTTATCATAAAACGATAAGCACTAATAACACGAGAAAATGATCAATTAGCTAATTTTAATATTTAGTTTTGTTATCTTTACTTATTCTTCCAACTTCTTTCGTGTCTCACCCTCCCTCCATCTACTAGCTTCCCATATCATATTACTTCTCTTCTTTAACATTCCCTCCACCACTATCAACGAATTAGTCCCTTCAAGAATCTCGATTATATATAATTATTACACAGAAATACAAATCGACGGAAGACAAAAGAGTTTGTTAGGTTTTATAAGTAAACGATATAAAGTAAGTCACAAAATGAATAATATTCTTTGATTCTATGATCGGTTAATTGTGTCTATAGTACTATATAGGCCTTCGATAAAACATAAAGTAAACAGTTTGATACCTTTCATTCTTGCTGTATTAAAACAATGAAAATGAAATAAAACATCAGATCATGGTTGAATATATAGAAAGTATGAGAATTATAAAAACTATAAAAACAATACGAGTTTTTACGCCAGAGTAAACATGTATTTTTAATGTCATTTGTAATGTCATTTTGAAGAGGATCTGGGCTACTCTTATTACAGGTAGCGTCAACTGTGATAATTTATTAAGATCAAAATTATAAAATATATGTTAACTTCTGTCGTGAGTTTGTATTAACTATTTAAAACAGTCAACGTTTCCATTTCCAAAGGGGACGTGTTTCTTTGTCAGAACATTTTGTCATGCTGTGTTGATCTTACATTCAAGATGAAATGAACCTTATTTTCCCCTATCACCTAAGAAATTAGATATCGACCCAAATTATACTCTTCAGGTCGTTATGAACTTTGGAGGCATATCCGGGTCGTGCATGCCACCTTTTAAGATACTAAATATAATTTCGTACGCAAAAGAGAAAAATGCCCTTAGTTTTGTTTGTCCCTTTCAATTTTAGATTCAAAGGGAACCTGATAATGTCAATCATATCCTGTCCTCCTACCTTTTTCTTATCCGGGTAAGTTTGTAATTCTAAGCCTTTTCTTATCCTACTAAGATTATAGTTTTCATAATATTTTACTATCATTTGAAAGTAATTTCAATATTTAAATGTAGACCTTTAAAAATAAATGTTCTATCATTATCCTGACATCCTATTTACTTTCCCAGGTGATTTTTATAATTCCAACCTTTTTTTAATTATCCTGCTAAGATTGTAATTTTCATATGAGTTTACTATCATTTAATAGAATTTTCAAAATGTAAATACAATAATAAATTATATAGAATTAAAACTGTTCTATCATCTCCTGATACCCTTACCTTCTTTCCCGATGGAGTTGAGTTCCACCTCCTCTTATCCTTCCAAGACGGTAGTTCTCATAATGTACATCACGTGTTACATCCTTTAAGTCTTGCATGTGTGTCCTGTATTCAAAGACGCCAATATATATTATTATGGCGATAATCTATTACCATATATGCTTTCCTTATGCAGAGGAGAGGTAAGAACATCGAATGAGGGGTAAAACCTTGCCAAAACTTTGTCGACAACAAGAGTCGTAAGTATTTGGAAGAGGGGGGAAAACTCGCCAAAACTTTATCGACAAGAATAAAACAAAGCACCCCGTATGTCGTACACGTTGCTGATAAGGGTTAATAAATATCATCAGTATTCGACTTAACCAACAAATTATTTTGAATTAGCCCCTCCCCTTCAGACTGAGAGAGGGATTGTGTTACCCTCTACCACTACCTCTCAGGTTAGCGATGCCCCTGCCCTCGTGCTTCCAGCCAGTCACAACCTGACAACAACAACAGTTTATTTGGATGAGGAGAAGGAGGGAGATGGGAGAGGGGGGGGGGGGGGGCTGGAGGAGGTGTTGGCTGTGTAACGTTCATCTTAGTTTAAAGCCTGTCTGCACTAGTTTGGTCAGGAGGGATTAGACCTCCCTGCATAGTCACTGACAGGTGGTTATCTCATCAAATCAGCTCTCAATTAACGTAAGAAAAAGGTGACCATGGGGGACCAATGGTCGCTGATTAGGCATTGTTTGCTATTATAGAGGGCGCACGTAGTAAGTAGTGCAACGGGGCTTTAATAGCAAATTAAAAAAATACAAGCGGGAAGTGGTTACTGGTTGACACAATTATAATTTGATTGTTGTTTGTCATTTCGTGTTTGTTCGGGCTTGCGGTCGTAACTCCAACTACAGTAGACAATAGACATGGAACTCCTTTCTTTGCAACATGGATACAAAAGATATTGATCAGGACATACCTGATAAGCATATTCCTGAGCTTGACGAAGTCACAATGCTTCGGGTTCTCCACTGCATTAGAAGGAACAGAATATATTAGCTTGACAATTTACAGTGTTCTTAGCAAAATTGTTTCAATGAAATAATTATATTTTCTTGAAACGAATTGCATTGATTCTTTACGTGTTTGTTGTGTGTATCAGTTTCTATGTTTTTTGTTTCATTTCGTAGTCTATTTATTTTGTAAGTTGTAGATCAAATTCTAAATTGATTTTGAAAATATTTCACATATATCTGCATAATTGTTTACATTTGCAATATATGTATTTGTTTAGTATTACATCATTAATTTTTTATCCATTATTTTATTTCCCATTCATATACAGGTATTAATACATATGTGTGTCAATCTTACTAGATAATCAATCAATCAATCTATCTATCTATATATCTATTCATATATCTATCATTCTGTAATCTTGTAATCATACCATACCTTCCGTAATACCCCATGGATATAATCTCCCCCTCACTCTCCTCCCGTTCACTTCGACTACTGTGTTGCTACCGATGACTGCAAATGGAATGCTGGCCTGTCACAAATAAAACAGAGCAGTACAATATTAATTGTATTATCATCATAATATAAAAATAACATGTAATTGGAAGATATTCCTAGTATTGAAACTAAGTTACATACATTTTAGTCATTATGATGCAATTTTATTTGATGTGTGCAATAAGTGCAGTCTAACCTATTGAATACTATAGTAAGCACGCCCTCTAGATGCATCAAGTCAGGATGGCCGAGCGGTCTAAGGCGCTACGTTCAGGTCGTAGTCTACTCTGTAGGCGTGGGTTCGAATCCCACTTCTGACAAATCCTTTTTTCAATTTTTATCTGAACCCATATGTCAATTAAACCACTTTTTTTCTTCTTCTACACAAAACCGCATCTAAATCATGTGCAAAAAAATGAAAATTTAAAATTTATCACTAAAAAAACAAAATGGTGCACCCATAAGAATCAGCTTTTGCTGCTATTTATAAGATATGGATGAAATGAATGAAAACAGTTTATTTCCTTGTAGACATTTTGATCGATAAACGAAATATCTGTGATCTTTACATGTCCTAAAGCCTCTACTTTAAGTGATTGCAAGAAGTAATTGCAATCGATAAAAAGAGTGACCGACTTGTCCTCATTCTATATATTATCCCAGGTATATCTCATGTCATAGCTTCTATCGAGTAATACCTTGAGTTCTTGGTCTTGTTTCTTGAAATCTTCGTCTTCATCAGACTCACAATCAGGGAATGCATAGATACCTATCTCATGCTCGGATATCTCACGTAATACCTGGTATGGATAGATGGAGAGAGAGAGAGAGAGAGAGAGAGAGAGAGAGAGATGGGAAGAGAGAGGGAGAGAGAGAGAGAGAGAGGCAGACAGAGAGAGAGAGGTAGAGAGAGAGAGAGAGAGAGGCAGACAGAGAGAGAGAGAGAGAGAGGTAGAGAGAGAGAGAGGTAGAGAGAGAGAGAGAGGCAGAGAGATGGGAAGAGAGGGGGAGAGAGAGAGAGAGGGAGAGAGAGAGAGAGGCAGACAGAGAGAGAGAGAGAGGTAGAGAGAGAGAGAGAGGTAGAGAGAGAGAGAGAGGCAGAGAGAGAGACAGAGACAGAGATAGACAGAGACAGACAGAGACAGAGAGAGACAGAGAAAGAGACAGATAGAGACAGAGAGAGAGAGAGAGAGGAGAGGGTGAAATATGGTATTAATAAGAATGATATGCATGATAAATTCTTGAAGTAGTCTTGACTAAAATGAGGAAGAAACATTCCCTAACTTCAAACATTCTTTACACGGCATTGGTTTGAACTATGTCAAACACAGAACTTTCTAGACTCACATAAATGCATTAAAAAATGATACCACTTTCTTCTTATGTCTCAACCCCATTTCTACCAGTCATGTTCTCTAATTCGCAATTTCTGAATAGTGAATTTCATTGATGATAATGATAATATTTATAAAAAGCCTTTTCCAGAAGATCCAAGCGCTGTCCCTTAGTCAATCAACAAATTAAGCAGGATTGCAGAGGTATGTTTTCAAATGTTTTTGAAGGACACAAAGGACCAAAATCATTTCGTCGCGTTCGCAGTTACCTTCTCAAGTATGGAAACAATATCAGGATGAATAACAATGAATATCAAATATCAGGATTTTTAATATTTTAAATCAGTAGTGTGGATGAATATAAGATATTATTTCTCACTTTTGAAAACCATGGGAGCTGCCAATAATTCACGCACAATTCCAAACACCTTTTTTCTCTTCCTTCAACAATTATTCCTTGAAATACTGGAGCGCTATAATGGCAGTTAGGCTAAAGCAGGGGTAATAATAAGTGCGTCTCGAAATAGAATTTCTAGATTATCGGCGGTATAGAAATGCCTATTATTAATATTATCATTATTATTATTATTATTATTATTATTATTATTATTATTATTATTATTATTATTATTATTATTATTATTATTATTATTATTATTATTATTATTATTATTATTTTCATTCTTACCCTGTCTTTCATCCGTTTGACTTCAGTCTTGGTGAGACAGTCTGCCTTTGCAATGATCGGTACAATGTTCACTTTGTCGTGAAGCCGCTTCATGAACTCGATGTCTATTGGTCTTAATCTAAAATGAACAAGGATTCAGAGTCAAAATATACTAAAAATGTCGTGTCTTAAATTTCCTCTCTTAAGCTCATCTAATCTAGTTTTGCAAGGAGGGATTAGATCTCCCTGCATGGTCACTGACATGTGATAATCTCATCAAATCAGCTCTCAATTAACAAAAGAAAAAGTGGATCATGGGGATCGACGGGTACCGCTTAAGCATTGATTGATAATTATATAAAGGGCGCAAGTAGCTACAAGAAGTATTTAAGGCAATACTATGAAAGAAACAAATGCAATAAAAAAAAACTTGAACAAGATGTGGTGGAGTTTATCAGAATAAAAAGAATATTTCTGCGGAACAAGGTTCCAGGGACAAAATAATTTCCCTTATAAATCTTCATTTCTGTAAAAGTATTTGTCAGAAGTGGGATTCGAACCCACGCCTACAGAGTAGACTACGACCTGAACGTAGCGCCTTAGACCGCTCGGCCATCCTGACTTGATGCTTCTAGAGGGCATGCTTACTATAATATTCAATTGCGACACATCAAATAAACTTTCGTCATATGAACAACCTATGGCAATGGCTTTCCATCCTATTAAAATCTTAACATACTCTCAATGCAGTGACATATTGTGATAGCACACTTTGTGCAAATTACCACAGGATTATAACAAAAAGGAAACCAAAACAATTAACAGGAAAATGAAATAAAGTTGGATATACTTGACATGAGGTGGTCGTTGCGGAAGCAAATATATAACATAAAAATATGACAATAATAATGAGAAATCATAAAAGAAAATAATTAAGCAATTGGTCTAAAAGATATGTCAGAAGTGGGATTCGAACCCACGCCTACAGAGTAGACTACGACCTGAACGTAGCGCCTTAGACCACTCGGCCATCCTGACTCACTATTTCCTTTTTCAATATCATTCACAAATAAAATACATGACGTGACATTTCATCATAAAAGCTACGGTCATGACATTCTTACAAGGGTTAATTTCAAATAAACAGTTGATAATGACATTTAATCATAGTTTAATATACCCATCCTTGATTGTCAAGTATTAGACCACAATGCCTTGGTCAATAATCGTACATGATAATGTTTATCATTTTTACTCTTTGTGTGTCTCTTTTTCCTGTTATATTATAGTAAAGGATTTTTTGTTTTTGTTTGAAATAAATAAATACATTATTCAAAACCATTCCAAAAGATATGTTGTCATGTTATCAGTTATGTTTTCATTTATATGTCTTTATGTTCACTAAATAAAACCAATCAATCAATCAATCTTTATTCATTAATATATTATCATTTAAATGGTAATCGTGCATACAGCTCAAATCGGTTTATGATGAAAATTGATAAAGATGATGATTACCCATGTCCATAAGGTGAGATGAAATAGAGACAGCAGTGAACTCGATCATCGATGAGATTCTTTCTATTTAATCCACTCTCATCTCGGTAATACTGTTCGAACTTGCTCTCGATGTGCGAGATGATTGGACCCCAGCTACGATGGAGAAAAGAAAGTATGAAAAAGTGATTGTCATATTGAATATAAACATCATACGGGCGAAAGATTATTTCAAATACAGATAAAATGTAGTTTACTCTTGATTTCCACATACCAAACCACTATGTTATAGATTCAGCATTTGAATTAGGCCTACTATAAATTCTTGATTGGCATTTTCTTAGCTTTTGCATTTTCTTTCACTCACTCTACCCAAATCCCGAAATATTTTTGGTAATAGTTACCTGGAGGGGAGGGGTAGGGGAGTTAGGGTTACACAGCTTTCAAAAGAAAAGTTATGGCCCATTCCCCCTTACTAAATGGCGAGTTCAAATGGAAGACCTATATAAGCGATTCTGATTGGTTGAAAGTTCAATTGTGTTCCTTCATTTTTAATATTGCGTTTCATTCGCGAAATATAGAATCGCCTAGTTAACAATAAACGGTTTTGCTTGAAATGGCGATCAAATTTCCTTTTGTAACATCATATAGATATATTGTGGGGATGGGGGAAGGGGAGGATGGGGAAGGATTGGGGGGGGGGGGGGTGAATGAACATACCTGTTTTCACTGTTGACAGAGTCTCCAAACCCTGGCGTATCAACCACTGTTAATCTTAATCTCACTCCTTGCTCTTCAATGTCTATCGATGATCGCTGTATCTCTGCTGTCTTATCTATACGCTCTGTCATGATACAAACAAACAAACAAACAATCAATCAGACAAGCATACATATAAAAAAACACCGCAGTTTAAAGTGAAATATCAAACATACTGTGAACCTGTGATAACATATGCTCTTTCTTTTTCATGAAAACCAAGACAGTTTAAAAAAGATTGAATTCATTCATATTTTTTTCAAAATATGATAACCACTCCAACTATTATTATGAATCTATTCATACAAGACAGATCGTCATTGAGAATGTCTTTTCTCATTTGTTGGGTCTAATGATTATGTCGCTGTATTTCTTAAAGCTGCGATTATTGGTTGGAAAATTACAAAATAAGTCAATTGGTAAGTAAACCTTACAGAGGAAACAGAGGGGCAAAGGAAAATGAGATGAAGAAAAAGAGCGAAAGAAAAGAGGGGCGGACGAAAGCAATGCAAAGACAATTCCCTCACCACTCCCTAATCTCACTCAATGTAATTGTGCTCCGTTGTATATCTCTTTTTATTCTGATATATACAACTTTGTCTTCATGTAGTTTGTCTTTGTTATGTTGATGTTTCCTTCTCTTCGACATACTTCTATCATGTTCTGATTTGATATTCATGATTATCGCATTATGTCATGATTTTATTTAAATAAACAAACGGTTTGAATATGAATTGGCATCTTTGTGGACCCCCCCCCCCCCCACATTGTCTGGACCCATGCTACGCCACTGCATGTCTGCTATTGATCTTCCGAAATGATTTAATGGCATTCTAACTGGAGACTGTCATGTTTCATGTTTTCATTTCTCTTAAAATAGCTTTCACGGTTCTGTGGGCTCGTCCTAGATAGGTTTCCTGTTTATACGAATGATTTAGTGACTTAGTCTTTTAGAAAAAGGCCAATCACCCTACCGAATCCTCCTCTCTATTTGCCATCTAATAGTAATGCTCGATTATCTGGTATTACTTCTGATTTAGAAAGCTTTGATAAATATAAATAAAATTATAATCATGAATATTGAAAGTATTTCTATACATTATTTATTCGTTTTCTGACTAAATAATGTATTTCTATACATTATTTAGTCAGAAAACGAATTATTTCCATAATTTACCGGACCGAGAGGAAAACCAAGAACTAACTGGGATGGGAACATGAAGACGTGGAGAGGAATGACACTGCAAGAGTGTACTAAGATAGTCGTTCAGACCGCTTATAAATGCCACTGTTTTCTCTCACCATTTACTGGCATTGGTTTACTTTTTTTGATAGTTACATCATCGGAAGAAAAAAATATTGTTTAAAGATCAAAGCAACATGATCAACCAGTCAGGATGGCCGAGCGGTCTAAGGCGCTACGTTCAGGTCGTAGTCTACTTTGTAGGCGTGGGTTCGAATCCCACTTCTGACATATACTTTTACAGAAATGAAAAATAATAAGGAAAACTTCAAGCCGTTTGTTAAATTTTACTTTACTTTTTTTACTCTGAATAATTCTAAAAATATACACTAACCCACTTTAGGAAAGGTTGGTAGATTTTGTTAAAGGGCTATCGACAGCATTAGTCAGTTAACAAGCTACCGCAAACAAGTTAGTATTACTCTTATTGGTAAATAGTATATACACATTGGAGTTAATTGAAATCTAATTTAATTTTGTCCTTTGCGTAACAGAGACATGAATCACTACATTGAGATAAGATTATTCAGTCTCGTAAATTGGTTTGTTTAAATGAAGATTACTTTTCAAATCTAAACCTGTCTTGAATCAATATAATTGACCTATAAAGAAACGATTAAATGTTTTACAGTATTTTGCACGTCATTCGCTTTTCTATTTTGTTTAATCGTTTTTGCAATAATCCTAGAAAACTCGTTTAGCTATTACTACCTACGATTAATGTTATAATATGACAAACTTAATAGTGCGAAAAACACGCAACGGTCTAATTGGAAGAATGAATACTGTAATAATTCAAAATGTCAACAAAATAATTATAAAAATGATAAATTAAATAGTCCATTCACTGCTGCTTAGGAAAAGCAAGGACAGGATAAATTATTAAAGTACCACGGAGTGTTACAAGAAAATCAATGCATTACATTCAAAAGAACAGATTACATGTCTCATTAATCTGATCCAAGTCACAATTATCATGATACAGTAGATAAGTCAGGATGGCCGAGCGGTCTAAGGCGCTACGTTCAGGTCGTAGTCTACTTTGTAGGCGTGGGTTCGAATCCCACTTCTGACATACCTTTTAGACCTATTTTTTTAAATAATTATTTCCTTTTTAAAAATAATTTCTCATTATTACTGTCTTTATGTTTATGTTATACACCTGTATATAATATATCCTTGTTTTCCTCCACGACAACCACCTTACGTCAAGTATATCCAAAATGTTGTTAATTTTATTTTGTGTCGTTACAATCCTGTGGTAATTTGCGCAAAGTGTGCTATCACAATATATCACTGTATTGAGAGTATGTTAAGATTTTAATATGATGGAAAGCCATTGCCATAGGTTGTTCATAATTATGACGAAAGTTTATTTGATGTGTCGCAATTGTGCAATCCATCCTATTGAATATTCTGGTAAGCACGCCAATTGGGTTCATCAAAGTCAGGATGGCCGAGCGGTCTAAGGCGCTACGTTAAGGGCGTAGTCTACTTTGTAGGCGTGGGTTCGAATCCCACTTCTGACATATCTTTTAGACCTACTGTTTAAATTTTCCCTTTTATAATTTCTATCATTATTGTCATATTTGACACCTCTTGTCAATTATATCCAACTTTATTTCATTTTCCTGTTCGATTGTTTATTTCATTTTATGTTATTGTTGTTATAATCCTGTGGTAATCACAAGGTGTGCTATCACACCGTATGTTTAAGGTATTGAAAGTATGTTAAGAGTATAATATGATCAAAAGCCATCGCAAAAACATACATAGTGAGTCAGGATGGCCGAGTGGTCTAAGGCGCTACGTTCAGGTCGTAGTCTACTCTGTAGGCGTGGGTTCGAATCCCACTTCTGACATACCTTTTAGACCTATTTTTTTAAATAATTATTTCCTTTTTAAAAATAATTTCTCATTATTACTGTCTTTATGTTTATGTTATACACCTGTATATAATATATCCTTGTTTTCCTCCACGACAACCACCTTACGTCAAGTATATCCAAAATGTTGTTAATTTTATTTTGTGTCGTTACAATCCTGTGGTAATTTGCGCAAAGTGTGCTATCACAATATATCACTGTATTGAGAGTATGTTAAGATTTTAATATGATGGAAAGCCATTGCCATAGGTTGTTCATAATTATGACGAAAGTTTATTTGATGTGTCGCAATTGTGCAATCCATCCTATTGAATATTCTGGTAAGCACGCCAATTGGGTTCATCAAAGTCAGGATGGCCGAGCGGTCTAAGGCGCTACGTTAAGGGCGTAGTCTACTTTGTAGGCGTGGGTTCGAATCCCACTTCTGACATATCTTTTAGACCTACTGTTTAAATTTTTCCTTTTATAATTTCTATCATTATTGTCATATTTGACACCTCTTGTCAATTATATCCAACTTTATTTCATTTTCCTGTTCGATTGTTTATTTCATTTTATGTTATTGTTGTTATAATCCTGTGGTAATTTGCACTAGGTGTGCTATCACACCGTATGTTTAAGGTATTGAAAGTATGTTAAGAGTATAATTTGATCAAAAGCCATCGCAAAAACATACACAGTGAGTCAGGATGGCCGAGTGGTCTAAGGCGCTACGTTCAGGTCGTAGTCTACTCTGTAGGCGTGGGTTCGAATCCCACTTCTGACATACCTTTTAGACCTTTTTTTAAAATAATTATTTCCTTTTATAATATCTCATTATTATTTTCATATTTTTATGTTCATAATAGTTCCTTGTTTGCCTCCGCAACGACCACATTATGTCAAGTATGTCCAACTTTATTTCATTTTTCTGTTAATTGTTTTGGTATTATATTTTCTTTTTGTTATAATACTGTGGTAATTTGCGCAAAGTGTGCTCACAATATATCACTGCATTGAGAGTATGTTAAGATTTTAATAGGATGGAAAGCCATTGCCATAGGTTGTTCATATGACAAAAGTTTATTTGATGTGTGCAATTGTGCAATCCAACCTATTGAATATTGTAGTAAGCACGCCCTATGGGTTCATCAAAGTCAGGATGGCCGAGCGGTCTAAGGCGCTACGTTCAGGTCGTAGTCTACTCTGTAGGCGTGGGTTCGAATCCCACTTCTGACATATGTTTTAGACCTACTGTTTAAATTTTTCCTTTTTATATTTTCATGTTATATAATTCCTTCTTTTCCTCTGCAAATGTCAAGTATATCCAATTTTATATCATCTTCTGGTAATTAGTTATAAATGTATTTTTTTTCTTCGTTATAAGACTGTGGCAATTGGCTCAAAAAATTGCAAATAAACCTATAAATTACAATACATATGAAATACACATTGGGAACAGAGATATAGTACTGAGCGAGGCGGGAAGATTCGCCGGCAATTCGCTCGAAGATGTCGTTGACGAAGCTGTTCATGATGACTATGGCCCGACTGGAGATATCACTATTACACTTGATATTTTAAGGTATTGACAGTATGGTAAGATTATGATATGATCAAAAAAGAATTGTCATTTAATTTTCAGTGTGCTAACACTATAACACTGTATATTTGAAGGTAGTGTAAGTATGTTAAAGCCCCTCTAAAGTGTTTGGAGCCCCAAATTCGCTATACAAAAATCAGTGGCAAAGATTTCACTTAAGTTGTGTAATGATATGAAAGAGGATGTCATTATTTTAACACTCAACTCTGCGAGAAGTTTCAAAACAAATGTGTTTGAAGATGAATATTGATGAAAGAATACAAAACTTGGGTTTTGTGTTGTACGCTGAAAACCTAAATGTTGTATTCTTCCATCAATATTCGTCTTCAAACACATTTATTCTGAAAATTCATGCAGAGTTGAAATAATGACATCCTCTTTCACATCATTATACAATTATTGAAGTGAATTGTTGCCATCTATTCTGTTGGGCTCCTCGCAAAAGCACATATCGCCAGTCAGGATGGCCGAGCGGTCTAAGGCGCTACGTTCAGGTCGTAGTCTACTCTGTAGGCGTGGGTTCGAATCCCACTTCTGACATACACTTTTACAGAAATGAAGATTTATAAGGAAAACTTCAAATCGTTTGTTGAATTTTACTTTAAACATTTATCTCAAAATATGTTTAAACATATACACCCCCTTATGATTGGTCTCCATATGTTTACCCTGATTAATGAAATACAATCAAGACTTGTAATATCTATTTCCAAACATATTACGATATTTTTAGTCAGAGGGAGAGATAGAAACGGAAATACTAACGGATGGTAAAAACGTAAGAGTTGAAAAAGAAATAGCTCCTAAAAATACTCCTACCCTTAAAGGTAAAGACCAGTTATGGGCATGCGATTGCATTGTGAAAGAAACGTTGTGGAATCGATCAGAAAAGGTTGATCATCTAGCATCTAGCATCTGCAAGGTTCTGGAATCATCAAAATGATAAGAAATTTGGCCCATTCTTCGTAAAGTTACAAGCCCTATACACAGAAAGATGTATATGGGACTACCCTATATCTCTCACAGACCACGAGAGAAACAAATTTACCAAATATATGAATTAGTAGGCGGTTTCCCGGCAAATTTTTTATCATCATGTATTAGTCAAAACATATTCTTTCACATGATTGGTAATGAGAGCTTCCATTTCATTTTTTGAAATTGGGGTGTTTCCAATACTGGTCTTTACCTTTAACAAACAAAAAGGACGAGGAACGTATGGTGGCGTACAGAGCGAACGTGGATATTTACCTAGATAGTACTCTTTTATAATTAATAAATGTATTGTTTCAAATCAGAATTAAAAAAAAGCAGTTTGTGAAGGACATTGACATAAATATAACAAAAACATAGTAATGAGTGGTATATTATTAGATAAAATGCTTAGTGGAGTAATGTTGATAAAAATCGATCAGCGTTATATTTACCTTCTGCATTGAGTGTTACTCTGTCTTTATAGAGGTCGGTAAGGAAGAGACTGTTGACGAGGGTTGATTTACCAAGACCAGTTTCACCTGTTTATAGGAAGGGAAAGCAGATGAAAAGACGCTTATGTATTCATCTGGCTTATATACACAATGTTAACATGATCGTGGACGTAGTTTTTTCTTCTTCTTCTTCATATTTTATAATATTAGATCAAATTGTAAAGAAAAAAAATCTCTGAAAATTTTACTGAAATCAGAGAAGAAACCAAGGTTTAAGAGGGTGTTGTATCATATTCTCTTCTTGATGAGTTTCCCGTCTCCTTTTTGTTCTAACTATCTCTCTCTCTCTATCTATCTCTCTCTCTCCCCCTCTCTCTCTCTCTCTCTCTCTCCGTCCCTACCTCTCTCCCAGCCAACCTCCCGCTCTCTCTCACCCCGAGTCCCTCCCTCCCCTCTCTATCTCCGCTCTTTCTCCCTATCCCTTTTTCTTCTCTTGTTTCTAACATTCGATAGGGGGTAACCCCCGCATCAACACTACTACAAATGATAATCACTTTATCAGAAATGTTGTATGAATAACCCGAATATCATAGGCATCATGCCTGGAGCTAGATGATTAAACATAATTATATTTATTTCATGTCTCGTTATGAATTTCCAAAAGTTGATCATATCTCTAATTCGTATGACTAGGGCTATAATAATAGACAAAGCTCAAGTAAAATACTTCATATTTGTGTTTATCAAAATGGGGACTACTTTACGGTCAAGTGCATCAATATAAGAAAAGCCCCGTAGGGGAGAGGAAATGACCGGTTCCCCGAGAAGAATTACTGTTGTTTTGAGTCATATCATGTCTATGGTCATATTCAACAAGAATTTTTCAAAGAAATGAGGAACAAAGCAAATCCCACTTGTATTCATACTATTCAAAGTGACAGGTCGGTGGAAAAATACAACCACTACGGTCATTTGAATAAGAATATTTTGTACAAAAGCAACCCGTACAAAAACAAGAATTCAGATTTATATTTCATTCAGATTCAGATTTGATAAGCAATGATAAACAGAAATGTGTCAGGCAACCATTGAATTGAAGCTACACAAGTCATATCCAACATTGATAACATTTCTCATGGTACATATTTTGAGGAATTGTGGCGTTGAGTTTGGATAACTGTGTGCCTTGCATGCATGGACAGTTGAAGTAAATTGTGTGATTTATTCGATGACTTAAAACGATCTAATTCAACTGAGAGTTAATATCAAGAGAAATGCCTTTCATTTGATCGAAAACTACTTCATTGTCCGTTAGGGAGCCAGTTAATATGCCTCGGTATTTTAATGACAACTCTATTTTGAGATATTTTCTACGCAGATGGATGGGAGTTATGACCCAGAGCGGATTATTCGAATTAAATATAAATATGTGCATTGTTGATTTGAACTGGACTTTAGTTTCGATTTGAGAGCATCGTAGTTCAAAAAAGGTATTATAACTTCAAATACGATTTGAATTTATCGTAGTTTGGCATTAGCTTTGACGTTGAATCTGGAAAAAAGTGTAAGATTGATTTAAAATTCGTTATAGCAAATTTTTACATCTGTATATGATCGTTACTTTCTTTTATGACCGTGTATAACGCTTTGATAAAAGTAATACTATGAACATCATTTCTATTGTCATCATAACTCTCTCTCTCTCTCTCTCTCTCTCTTTCTCTCTATCTCTCTCCTTTATATCTCTCTCCCCCTTCTCTCTATTTCTCTCTCTCTCTCTCTCTCTTTCCCGTAATGATGTATACAAAAGGCCCATTACTATATACAATGGGTTCCGTTGAAACAGGTAACAGAGGAATTCAAATCATTTAACACATTAGACATGATATACAGAGAAGAAACAACGTGCCAATTTGTAGGGGAGAGAAGGGTAATTCCCCTCGAGGATGTAAATGATGATAGGTAGTTTGAGAAAATAGACATACCTACGTGATACATACTAGATATACCTGAAAATATTATTTTCCTGAATGAAAATCAAATGTGTACCCAAATATGAAGGTAGAGGTATATCGATATACATGCTAGCATGTGTAACTTTATATTGACAAAAATATGTCTTTATGCATTTACATAATTGTTCCGAACAGCCTATAAGACGACTTAATATTTTGTATTTATCTGTTTCTCGAAGTTCTACATCACACAATTCATAATTAACGTGTACATGTAGGCCTGAGGTTCCAAAGTGCAGGCCATATTTGCGGTCAGTATATATACTATCTCAAAATGTGTAAATATCGTTCATATATAGCGAGTAAACGTTGCGGTGCTCTTTGTACTCTGCGAACAAATAAGGAATGTAAGGAATTTGGAATACCACAAATATTTGTGATAATAGTAATGATGCGTTGAAACTTCTGCCCAACACAAAGGGGCATGAGGCGAACAAAGTGTTTCTGATTGTTTATTTATTCTAAATTATTTTGCCAAGTAAATCTGTTATATTTTAAAAATGAACTGCAAGTTGTGACTGATATCTATAAATGTATGTTCTTATCATATTTTGAATGGCCAAGAATATCGTTTTGAAATTCTGCATGTATATATATATTGGGAAAACAAGTTGAGAGGTGGTTCAGATAAAAGAGCTGTTTTAATCGTGATACACACATTTGTACATCGTATATTTTAATCTTCGTAATCACGGCAACATACTACACTGTCTTTTGCTAGTGTTTTTCATCTTAAATATTTTTAAATATTTGTTATTAGGGGGAATGCCGATCCAAATGTACCTATTCTACGAGAAGACTACTGTATATAACAAGTCCTATTTCAGTCTACCCTGCAACTAGTAAATATATGTAATGAATATCATGATCAACGTTATCAAAGCCCCTTCGCATAGCCCCTACCCCAACTGGTAAATGACATGCCTTATGTAATTGATATCTATGACATGTATTAATTTAAACTCTTGTTCACCCGCTTGTTGTTGTGTTAAGTTTCCAAGTTCAAGGAGCCCATCTTTCAGTGTTGTATTCAGATATTTACAGATGGGACCGAATCGGCGTACCATAGATGAAAACCCCAAGTTTTACTAGATCATGCTGGAAATGTTTAAGCCCAATTTATTTAAGCCCAGTTTATTTGTAAATGTATTAATTATTAATTATTATCTAAGTCTAAAATGGGGGGCGGGGGCGGGGGTATACACCGGCTGGTCTTCTTTACTGGATACACAACCGTCTTTCTAAAATGTAATGATGAACCTAGTTTTTTTTTTTATATCCTGCCCCTCTGTCCCAACCCTGTGACGAGTTTTGTCTCATAAATAGAGGCTGAGATGTCCCAAGTACATTCATTCAGTAACCTCCTTGGTTTTCTCTCCACCTCAAGTCTTCCAGGTATCTTAAAAGATAACCCTGGATGTTTGACATTGGTGGAATATGATGGATGTACCGCAGCTGATGCGATGCCGTCACGTATATCATATCTCGCCTGCCAAGGGTGTATAGATACCAAACTCATCATGCTCATCAAGTGTAGATGAAATGATTATCACGTGGAGTGTGTTGTAGCTCAACCACATGGGGGGGGGGGGGGCAGCCCATGCAAATGTGACGACGAGTTGAACATAAATACATGTAATACGCTCTACTTGTCAACTTAATTACTAGTCAACGATTAATAAGTCAGGAGAATATTAAACATTAAAAGCGATTACAAGATATCGTAATACCCATTTTGTTTATCAAATTAGTGTCCCCTCAAAATGGGATTCGGGTGTAACCAATAGTAAGGGGCTAGTCATTAACACAATAAAAAGTTCACAGTCTATTAAGTTATCATTGCAAAATTAGATTGACTTTGAACAAAACTAACTCTGAATTGTCGCCTAAATGAACAAAGTATTCCCTACCACCACCACCACCACCACCACCACCACCACTGCCACCACTACTGCCACCACAATCACCAAAACCACCACCACCACTGCCACCACCACTGCCACCACCATAGCCACCAACACCACCAACACCACCAACTCCACCACCACCACCGCAACCACCACTGCCACCACCACTGTCACCATCACAGCCACCACCACCACCACCACTACCACCACAACCACCACTGCCACCAACACTACCACCATCACCACCACTGCCACTACTACCACCACCACTACCACCATCATCATCCTCAACACATTCACCCCCCCCCCAATCCAATCAAAATCCTTGGGGCCCGTTCAACTTACCGACCACCATAAGAGTGAACTCGAATCCTCTCTTGACCGATTTCCTCTGCATCTGTTCTGGGAGGGTGGCGAACCCAACGTACTCCCGTCCCGATTGACCCTGGAAAGATATCATAAATATAAGATTAATTTAATAAAAATCAAATTATGTCAATGGAATAGGCAATGCAACTGGTGGAATGGAAAATAAACTGTTTGTTAGTTCTTTATTTCATATAATGTCAATAACTAGAGAATTAGAAACACTTTATTACAGTTCGAATTTTTTTTCTTCTTCATATCTGTTGATAAAAACAAGATAGATCCAGTATTTTGAAAAGTGATGTGCTATTGATATACGAAGTAAGATATGCGTCTGTAGATAGAAATGAAGGGAAAGAGAGTTCCGTCGAGGATCAATAGCCCTCAACATGATCAAAGTACAACTATTAAAGGACAAGACCAGTATTGGAAACGCCCCAATTTCAAAAAATGAAATGGAAGCTCTTATTACCAATCATGTGAAAGAATATGTTTTGACTAATACATGATAAAAATTTTGCCGGGAAACCGCCTACTAATTGATATATTTGGTAAATTAATTTATCTACATGGTCTGTGAGAGATAAACGCACGTGTCGCGCACGTGTGCGTTTAGTCCCATATACATCTTTCTGTGTACAGTGCTTGTAACTTTACGAAGACTGGGCAAAATTTCTTATCATTTTGATGATTCCAAAACCTTGCACTACACACCAATACTTATATGCTAGATGATCAACATTTTCTGATCGATTCCACAACGTTTCTTTCACAATGCAATCGCATGACCATAACTGGTCTATACCTTTAAGCTTTCTCACCTGACTGAGATATTAGCCTTATGTGTCTTTGATTGGCTTCTACTCATTCAGCCGAAATGGAGAACCCAAATAGTGCAATAGCTTCTTTGCGATATCCTTTGATATTGAAAGACATCGTCTACGACCTCTGAAAATGTGAGGCAGAAGTCAGTATTTGCCAACAACAATAGAGTCTTCAGTAACGATTCATCCTATTATTTCAGAAATACGATTTTAGAATGGCAGACAAATTCGAAATTATATAGAATAAAATATAGAAAAATCACCAATTACGTCTCGAGTCGTTTACACAATTTTATCTTTGTGATGTTTGTGATCATTTTCGCAGAACTGTTAACATCCAGCATCTCATCATTTGAGATTGAAGGGGAAAATGTGTATAGCTATTCGAGCTGGAGCGGAAATAATTTTTCTTACAATATAAAAAGTTCATTCAAATTGTTAATGGAGTAACCCATATTCGTATTGTTGCATTCAATTGTAATAATTCTAGCTGCTATCAGACTATGCCCGCTGAAGTACGATTAAGTATCAACATAATTTGCTCTCTCTCTCTCTCTCTCTCTCTCTCTCTCTCTCTCTCTCTTTCCGTCTCTGTCACCTATTGTTTGTTATTTGTTTTGGTCTGTCTATTTTTTTTCATTCTATCTGACTGTCTCCCCGTTCTCTCTCTCTCTCTCCCTCTCTCTCTCTCTCTCTCTCTCTCTCTCTCTCTCTCTCTCTCTCTCATCCCTTTCCCAGCTCTTTCAGGTTGACATGGTTTGGAAGTGTGATGATGACAACTGGAACGCAATTCCCTTTGAGGAGCGGACGCGTTAGGAATCAATGGGGCGTGCCTTTCTCAACTTGATCTTGATAAACCGGTAAGGTGTGATCGAAAGGCTACCCAATATAGCTGTAGGGGAGGTTATGCGAACAGACAGGGGCGTATCGGGGGGTGGGGGGGGGGCACAAGGGGACACGTGTCCCTTTTCCAAACCCATGCAATCTGGAATACACAAACAATGTGCCCCTTTCAAATCTTTGACCCAAAGGGAACCTGAAATATGACCCCCACCCATGTTAGAGATGTTTGGAAATCGCGTTCCGTCCCCTTACAGAATCATGGATCATGGATGTTAAAATGTCACAAAGAACCCCTCCACCGTTTATACTATCAAATTAAGAATTTCCGTATTCCAATATTATGGAGGCCAAGACTAAAGTCTGTGTATATTTACATACCCTGAAAAATCAAGTGCCGAAGAATGAAACAATTTCAAAATATATGTAGAAGATTTAACACTTTTCGCTTGCTGAATGCAACATTATTTGTGTGGCATCCAGTAATATTGAGAAAAAGTTACATTACGTATACGATTTATTAAAAAAACGTCACTCCTAGCTCGGCCCCCTTAAATTTAGAATCGACCGTCAAGTTTTTGTGCTGCATGTCGAACGTCAGTCTTCATCAAAAGTCCTGTAAATCATGTGGCAATCCTGGTTCTCTTGCACATTCAAAGAGGTGCGTGTGGGCAACAACTTCTGACATATTGAGAACACATGTCAGGTCATGTAAATGACTCGCACTGCATGAACAACCACGGTGAATGAACTTATATCGTCTTTGCTTCTCAGTTTTCTCATCCGGTCTTTACAATGTAAAGTAGTTCAGTAACAATAAAATCATATCGTCAATAAATGTGCCTTTGGGAAAACTGGATCTAAGTAGGGTCACATCATACTCAGTAGTAATATTTCATTCAACCGAACTACCTGTCCTCAATAGCCCTAAGGATAATGAATATTTCAAAGGATTATTTGAATTAAAACAAATACACGGTGCAATGGGACATGTAGCATCGTTGAACAGCACATACAAAATGTGTATGATTCAAAATTCTAAAGCATAAACGGTGAATGTGTTTAAGATTTCGGTGGAAAGCGTTTTATAAGCACCGTTTTTTTTAATGGTATTATTTGGTAAGGGAGAATGCGCCGGCAAAATTGTCACAAAATATACAACTAGCACAACAACACGTTGCTTTTAAAATTATCATACAACTCGGGTACGAAACACATTCCATTACTTCATGATAAGACACGTGTAGATTGACGAATTTTTGTCATTTTCTTAATCTATGTCATTGTGACTCTATCGCTTTAAATTATCAGAAAAGCACATTTCATCCCCATGAAAATTTAAGAAGTTTTATAGGGTTTTGTTACAGGTATGCAGTACTGTCTGGGAACACCCAACATAATAAGATTTCAGCAAACTTTACGGTAGTGATACACACCTGTGGTGTTTGCCAGACACCAGATAGGAAAGATAATCGAATTCCATGTAGAGTTGAAAGTCCACATTGTTATATTCATTGTAAGAAAGCAGGGCTATTTCATCTCGGACTCTGATACAAACACCAGGAAGTGAGTGTTCAAATTGATTTGCGAAACTCAAAAGAGTTTAAAAAACTACTATTTAATGATCTACGATGTGCAAAGGAAGAAAAGCATTTATTAGACGTTTGCCCCATTCGTCAACAGTCTACTCTGTGTACGTCATGCAAAATGCTGGTTTACATATATACTGCTAAATCCGTATAAATAATAAGCGATAAAAACTTCTCATGAAGAGATGGTTTTGAAATTAACTCATATTTTATCCTCACAACAAAATTGTCAAATTTAAAGGAGATGGATAGCAAAAGTTGTGAAATAAACTGTCCGGAAGTTTGATTATAAAGTACATTATTGATGTATACTTTGAAGTTTTGGAATGATCAAAATGAAAAAAAAAAAATTAAATCCAATCTTTGAAAGTTTGGACCAAACGTTCCAGCTATTTTTTCTCGAATAAGATGGAATGTGAAGAGCCATCCTATTCGGGGATAATTTCTGTTATGATCACAATGAAATTCTTCATAAACTGGCACAAAAAAGATTGTAGCTGTTTCGTTTCATTTTTACAAGAACTCAACCTTCTCTTTAAGGGGCCTTCGCCAAATCTTTATATTCCCATCAGATTCTTATCTATGTTTATTTACTAAGGACAAAATCGATTTAATTCGACAATTCCTCTTTAAACACCCATTGTCTAATGTCAGCCTTGTATTCCTGGTATCGAATTGATCCTATTTGTCTGGGTCAGCGCCTTCGTGAACTCCAACGAAAATCATTGTTTCAATATATTTTAGTCGGAACCAAATTGCTTCATGATGATGTGAAGCAAGCACACATCCTGTAGTTATGTACAGTTGACTTGACCATGGTTGAGGACACAGGTTCCTAATTCTACGAGCTTTGGGAGGTGAAGGCCGCATAGACGGATTCGTATACTCAATGCAGTATACAAAATCTTCATGGAAATGTCACATATTTTTATCCGTTTTTCAACTTACTAACCACTAATTGAGTGCCTTTTAAAAACCAGTCGACTCGTGATCCTAAATTCATGAAAATCATAGTATTTCATATGTACTTATACACAATATCGGCCTACATTTAAAAAATAAAAATATCCTCTGTAAATCTGGTATACCTCAAATAATATATTTTTAAATCGAGTATGCTCATGCTATATCTGAAGATATATGTGTGTGCTTTTATGCCACTTCTGTTTTCAAATGCATGTTGCGACCCTGTTGCGACCCTTATACGATGTGTAAATAATTGAAATGTTAAGACTCTTAGTTAAACATGTTTCCATGAGAAATATTGGGCAAACTATCTAGTGGAATATGGTCATATTTTGCCCTTACGTCTTTACTGTTGTCAAAATATACCAAAATATGCAGCACTGGAGTCTAATTTTTTTGTTGACATGCAACAATATTATTATGTACGATGCTGTAGTGTTCTATTAGTACAGGTGTGTGCACTTCAAAACGAAACGAGCCGTTATATTCATCGGTCAATGGATTCAGTATTATCCTTGTACTTTGTGTGGTTATAAGCTTCCTTTCAAGGGCTTGTGTATCTATTCTCTGATGCATCCTATAATCTTACTGAACGTAGGCAAGAAACAATCTCGTAGAACTACACCATATATCGTTATTAGTACATGCTACCCTTATTACAGACCGAAAGTGCCTCAGATTTGCATCCCATCCCCAGGCAATGCACGAACACGCGCGTACGTGCTACTATCATTTACAAAGTAATTCGTCTTCATTTAGTTCGTTCTGCTGGAATTTACGTGAAGGGGTTATATAAGGGTGAGTAGCTAAGCACTAGTAGGGCCTCTTTGAAAATAGGCTTTACATTACATAATAGAGAG